TTTTTAAAAAAGCAATAAAAGAAATCATACAAAATGGAAAAATCTTCCATGTTCATGAATTGGAAAGATCAATATCATCAAAATGTCCATTCTTCCAAAAGAAATTTACAGATTCAATGTGATACCAATCAAAACACCAAAGACATTCTTCTCAGATTTAGAAAAAATGATACTGAAATTCATATGGAAACACAGAAGATCTCAAATAGCAAAAGAAATCTTATACAACAAAAACAAAGTTGGAAATATCACAATACCAGGTTTCAAGACATACTACAAGGCAGTTATAATCAAAACAGCCTAGTACTGGTACAAAAACAGATAGACAGACCAATGGAACAAAATAGAAACACCAGAAATCAATTCAAGTGTCTACAACCAACTTATGTTTGACCAAGGAGCTAAAACCAATCCCTGGAACAAGGACACAAATGGTGCTAGGAAAACTGGATTTCCAGATGCAGTAGTATGAAACAGAACCCCTACCTTACACCTTATTCAAAAACATTCAAAATGGACTAAAGACCAAAATCTACAATCTGATACCATCAAATTATTAGAGAACATTGAGGAAACCCAGTAAGACATTGGAACAGGCAAAGAATTCTTATAAAAGACCCCAGAGGCACTGACAATCAAAGCCAAAATGAACAAACTGAAGTACATCAAATTGAGATGCTTCTGTACTGCAAAACACACACTCAGGAAATAGAAGCATCAACTGACAGAATGGGAGAAATTATTCACAAACACTGCAGCTGATAAAGGATTAATAATCAGGATATATAAAGAGATCAAGAAACTCCACAACAGGCCGGCGCCGCGGCTCACTAGGCTAATCCTCCGCCTAGCGGCGCCGGCACACCGGGTTCTAGTCCCGGTTGGGGCGCCGGATTCTGTCCCGGTTGCCCCTCTTCCAGGCCAGCCCTCTGCTGTGGCCAGGGAGTGCAGTGGAGGATGGCACAAGTCCTTGGGCCCTGCACCCCATGGGAGACCAGGAGAAGCACCTGGCTCCTGGCTCCTGCCATCGGATCAGCGCGGTGCGCCGGCCGCAGCGCGCCGGCCGCGGCGGCCATTGGAGGGTGAACCAACGGCAAAGGAAGACCTTTCTCTCTGTCTCTCTCTCACTGTCCACTCTGCCTGTCAAAAAAAAAAAAAAAAAAGAAAGCAAGAAATGGACTAAGGCCGGCGCCGCGGCTCACTAGGCTAATCCTCCACCTTGCGGCGCCAGCACACAGGGTTCTAGTCCTGGTCGGGGTGCCGGTTCTGTCCCGGTTGCCCCTCTTCCAGGCCAGCTCTCTGCTGTGGCCAGGGAGGGCAGTGGAGGATGGCCCAAGTGCTTGGGCCCTGCACCCCATGGGAGACCAGGATAAGTACCTGGCTCCTGCCATCGGATCAGGGCGGTGCGCCAGCCTCAGCGCGCCGGCTGCGGCGGCCACTGGAGGGTGAACCAACGGCAAAGGAAGACCTTTCTCTCTGTCTCTCTCTCTCACTGTCCACTCTGCCTGTCAAAAATAAATAAAAGAAAAAAAAAAAAAGAAATGGACTAAGGACTTAAACAGATATTTTTCAAAAGAGGAAATCCAAATGCCCAAGAGGCACATGAAAGAATGTTCAAGATCACTAGCCATTAGGGAAATGCAAATCAAAACCACAATGAGGTTTTACTTCACCCACATTAGAATGCCTTTCATACAAAAATCACCAAATAACAAACGCTGGCAAGGATGTGGGGAAAAGGTACCCTAATCCACTGTTGGTGAGAATATATATTGGCGAAACTACTATGGAATACAGTATGGAGATACCTCAGAAATCTGAATACAGAGCTACCATATGACCCAGCCATCCCACTCCTGGTTATTTTTACCCAAGGGAAATTTAATCAGCAAATAAAAGGGTTATTTGCACACCCATATGTATTGTAGCTCAATCACAATAGCTAAGACATGGAATCAACCTAAATGCTCGTCAACTAAAGATGGGTTAAAGAAATAATGGAATATGTACTCTATGTAAAACTACACGAGGTAAAATAAAATGAAATCCAGTCATTTGCAACAAAATGGATGAATCTGGAAAATGTTATACTTATGAAATAAGCTAGTCCCAAAGGGACAAATATCATATGTTCTCCCTGATCTGTGATAACCAATAGAGCACCTAAAAGGAAACCTGTAGAAGTGAAATTCTCACTTTGAGAAGCAATGACTTGAACAGCCTTTGTCTTGACTGTTGGAGAATAGTTTTTGTTTTCTTCTTCATACTTTTTGTTGAACTCCTTACTTCACATAGAGTTAATCATATGTGTATAAAGTCAATTGAAAAATAGATCTAAGTAAAAAAAAAAACAAGAGTGGGAATAAGAGAGGGAGGAGGAAGTTTGTAACTGTTAAGCTGTATAGTTCTTCATACATTCCTACAGACTTACTTCTAAGGGTACACTTTAAAACCTAGCCATTTGATCCCAAATCCCATTAAGGTGGGTGGTAAAAATGCCATCTTAAGTGTTAAAGTGATCACATGAATAAGATTTTTTTTATTTAATGAATATAAATTTCCAAAGTACAGCTTATGGATTACAATGGCTTCCCCCCCGCCATAACTTCCCTCCCACCCGCAACCCTCCCCTTTCTCGATCCTTCTCCCCTTCACATGGATAAGATTAAGTATTGAATGGATCATATAAATAAGATCAAGTGTCTGGTAATAATAATAGATAGAATTAAAAAAGGAGAGAATGTTCCAACATGGGAAGCAGTCCACACAGTGAACTCATAGAATGACAATCGCTTGAAATAGCATTCTGATCTCAGAATCAGCCCTTAAGGCATTCTGGTCTGGCTGAAAAGCCCATGAGAGCATTTCAGGCATGGAAAGCCAAGACACTATGGAAAAAAAATGTCCTACATGAAGTATATCTGTGAATGAGACCCCAGTAGAAAGAAGTGGCCATCAAAGGATATACTTTTCTCTGAAAGAAGGAGAGAACTTGCACTTCGCTTATGGCTTTGTCTAAATATTGATGGAGATTATGGATTCAAAAGGCTTCTCTAGCCATGGCAGCTCATGTCAAGAGCCTCAGGTGATCACTGACATTATACATAAGGGTATTAATTGTTAAATTAACTACAGGAGTCACTGTGCACTAACTCCCCATGCAGGACCTCTGTCTTCAATGAGCTGTGTTATGAGGATTAAAACTTGTTCTCAAATAGTTTTTGTGTGTGTATATGCATGTGTGTGTAAATTGTTGAAATCCTTACTTAGTATAGAGTTGGTCTATATAAAGTTAATTTAAAATGTGTATAAAGTTAATTTAATCTTAATGGATAATTGAACTGGTAATGGGAGAAGGAATAGGAGGTAGGGTAGGTGTGTGGGTGGGAGGGTGGGTATGGTGAGAAGAATCACTATATTCCTAAAGTTGTACTTATGAAATTTATGCCCCTTAACTAAAAGGTTTCTTTGGGAAAAAATAAAAAAGAAATACATTCTAAGATAAATCTAATCTCTATTGATGGAAAACAGATCTACTGTTGCTTGACCTGAAGGTGGAGATAGGAATATTAGTTTGCCAAGAGGCATCAAGGCATTTTTGATAGGTTGTGTGATAGCAGTGGTTGCTCAGACATAGGTGTCTGTCAAAAAAAAATTTACCAAGCTGGTCACTTAAAATATGTGCATCTTTTATATAAATTATATCCCAATGAAGTTGGTTTTTGAAAAGAAAACATATATACTTATTTTAAAGGTACAGAAACACACACGCAAAGTGTAAAACAATAACATTTTGAAGACAATACTCAAAACATATAACAACTGGAAAGACAAGCACTGATCCATGAGAAAAAAATGGTGGGTGTGAGCAACTGGAAGAGCCAACCTGTTTGAATGAGGCCAGGATTAGCCCAGGAAAACAGTGGTTATCAATGGGTACTGAGATCATCGATGTCTTTTTTCTTCCTTTGTTTCTCTGTATTTTCTAATTTTCTATAACAATCAGGTACTTTAAATTTAAAAATCTATTTTTAATTATAAAAAAGAAAAATAGTGCCTGTTGATATCACACTTCATTGTGTTATAAAATTCTAATGGATTTCAAAACCCTAATGGAACTTTTAAATAATGGATTTGAGAAATGGTGTACTAAAACAGCATTGAATTAGAAGTTAAAAATGGATAATGCTATAAAAATATTTTCTATCTACTACAAAGAAAATAGTGCAATATATTTTTAAATTATTTTACCATATTAATATTTTAAAATGCCCTCCTTTGTTCCTATCCTAACTAAATCTCCACGTAATTGATTATGTTTAAGAGAGAAATAGTATCTTTCCTCCAATTACCCAGGATCTGCAATGTCATACAGCTTAAAATTCATCACATAGCATTTTCCTGTGGCTATCATTGCCTAGGTAAAACTTTGAAATCTGAGCAAGTCAGAAAATCAGATGATAATTATCAGCCCTGGATAAATCTTTATCACAAAATTACAGCCTATGACAAGGAGAATTGCTGCCATCTCTCCCTAGCACAGCTGCCATCATCTCCCCGGCTTATCGCAGCAACAAACCTTTGCTCTGCACAGTTCCTCAGCGGTAAGCACAATGGAAACCTGGCCACAAGAGCAGTCGCTCAGAAGCTGTGATCAGCAAATGATGATCAGAACTTCCCTTGATCGTGTCTCTTTCTATTAACGGAGAAGCCACACCAGCTCCCATCAACCCAGCTGGGAGTAAATGGATGGCTTAGCAACAGGACACCTTTCTGAAACTCTGAAAACCCCAAAACCCCAGGGTGAAATGACACTGGCATACCCTCTCTTACTCTTGCTCCATAACGCGGCTCCAACTTACGATTTTAACAGCACCTCAGCCCAATGTGAGATCACAGTGATCTCTAACGATCTGCAAATCTCAGTGTTTTTAGCAGCTCATTTTTGTGTTGTGGCTGCAGTGGTAACACCTGAACCTAAACAGTTACTGTTTACAATACCTGGGCTGTCAGCATCTACAGTGAGTGAGAGGAAGTGGTGGTATCTTCCAGCTTTGCCAGCCTTCATTCACTCCTCCTCCACTTGAACGTAGGTGTAGTGTGTCTACCAGATCCACGGTGTCAGCTCCCACAGCCCTCTTCCACCTTGGCTCCAGGGACCTCCGTCGCCTGCAGAGGTCGACCTCCTTGCACCTTTATGTGGAGAGAAAGGAAGAAGGGGGCAGCAGAGGACACCAGCCTCTTTCTCTCTCAGAATGTAGGAGACTGAACGCTCTGATGTCTGAAGGGAAGGGTCAACCTGTGCCCAGATCACAAGCATAAGAAAAATGGACATTTTCATGAGGCGCACAATGTAGCACTTCCAGAAGATATTTGATTATAAATTACATTATAGGATCCAGCTTCCTCCAGACGTTTTAGTGTGATCTGCCCTCTAAACAAGGATTAAACTCACTTTTATAGTTGATAGGTAGTGTGTAACAACTTTTCTTCTCTAATTCTAAAACATTAGGCATCTCTTACATAATAATGATCATGGAAAGTGTTTACTGAATAATTACTATGTGCCTGATGTTGTTCTAAGCTTCATACATTACCTCACTTCAGCCTCAAAACAGCCATTATTCAGATAAGCCAGGATCTGAACTCAGCACTGTTTCCAGACTTGGCCACATTGAGGTAGATCAAGAACCACAGACCTCATTCCCCTAGAAAGGTAAACCTCTTGTGAAGCCACCCAAGCACTCAGAATAAAGTTGGCCATGGTTAGACTTCAAAACATTTCTGGATGGATGGACAGGAAACATCCCCAATGTTATAAAAGCACCACGGCTGCTTTGCCCTATGGCAAAAGTCTTTTGTCTAAATAGAATATTAGTGACTCTGGGTTAAGCTATTATGAGTGATTTCCCAAAATGGATAAGGCTCCCCTGTGGTCCTGGCAAATTCCTTAGGATACATTTTCATCCTCCAGAATGCTCTACGATGCCTGAAGAGCTGATGATCACAGCTAGCCAGTGTCACCAGCAACACCGGCGGTTAATTTCCATCTATAGGAATGGTCTCACTGGACCCATTTGGGAAAAGCAGCAGAGGATGACACTGCCCAGCTCATGTCTCCCTGAGCCCTTAACCACTCTCACTCCCAACAGTCAGCACCTGCAGTCTCTTTCTCCCGGAGCTGCCATCACCTACCTTGGTAGAAAAACCTGAAGGGTCCCTCCAGAGCTGACTTCGGCCAACAACTTACAGCACAGGGGTGAAAATACCCCAGCTCCCTCACCCTTCATGGAGGCAACCCTGCAAGACGGAGCCAAAGTCTCCCATCATGGAATGTGACTTGACATTGCAACCCTATTTGGCCTCTTTCCCTTCCCCATCTCACTTCCCCACCCCACCCTCTCACTGGTTTCCCTGGCATGGCTTCATAATAAATCACTTTCATGGCCACTGCATCTTTGGTCTGCTTCTGGAGAACCCTATCTCAGAGAGGAGACTGGAACATGGCAAACTAAATGGACCACAGGCTACACAGATGATGCCACATCCCTGTGTGGTCTGCACAGACATCTTGGGTCATCAACACTCCTGCTTTTCACAATGGGAGTCTTTGTCTCTTTATACAAAGGGGATATTCTAGTGATTTGCTCCCATTCTTCTGGTACATCCCTGAGCTACTTACACCTCAATAATTTTTAACTTACAGGGTTCAAGTTATTGTGAGAGAGATGGTGGGAGAGTCCTCACACAATGCTATTGAATGGACACTCTGGAGGGGGAAACTGCACTGATGCTCAAATAGTTGTGGTTTTAACAAAAGGGAAATGTAGTGGATTTAAGGGCTCCAATTGCTGGCTGGCAGCCTGGGAGCCAAACCTTGCACTAAGTAACCTTGCTGTTAAGTGTGAGGTCTATAAAGGATGGTCTTTTGGAAGATACAGCCTCAAACCTCACATTTTATAGTCATGGGTCCCCTGAATCAAATACATGTGTTAAACATTTCTCACAGTAGTTTTAAACTTTAATTACGTATTCTACCAAAGCAAAGATCAAAATCTCTACAAAGGTTCCCTTTTTTATGATGCAGTATTTATTGATATGTCTCTATGAAATGGATTTTCCCGTGGCCTGAAAAGAAATTCCACATAGAAATCATTCTCATAACACTTTGTCAAAAATACTTGCAAATTTGTCCTTCTTTCTCATCACATGCTATGACTTGTTAATGAAGAATAATTAAAACATTGTTATTAATAAAGGATGAGGGGATGAGTTGCATTTCAAAAAATATTATTTAAAGATGAAATCTTCAAGTTCACCAATGTCTATAATGGAGAAATTAAAATGCAAAGCTTCATCCATATGGAGTGTCTAGACCTGGTGCATTTCAAATCAATCAACTTGGTGGAAATAAAAGATTTGCTTCACGCAATGGGTCAGCCTGATTGAATATAGCATTGCAATCTGTTAATATCCATGCGGACCAGGTAAAACGTCATTGCTCTTAACAGGTTCACATCTACAGTGTTTCTGCATTTCTTTCCATCCGGAAATCTGAGCACCTGATTTTCCTAGATATCTGTGATCCAAGGGGTTCTGAAAGAGATTCCTCCAAAATGTTCCAGAGCAAGTTTCATGAGCCGCTGAAATGGACTCAGCCAGCAGCTGCAAGTTAGGATTTCACCTTGGAAAACTTGTCAAGGGGAAATCCACCCCCGGTAAAACGAGGTCCAGTTGGCTTGGCCATTGAGAAGGTGCTGTCCACGTGTATCCTGTCTCTGTTTCTGTGAGAGAGGAGGCGAAAGTTAACTTCCTTAACATCCTTTGCCGCTTCTAAGTTTGATGTTCTCTAAGTTCCCAGGGTGAGTTAGCCACTGAAAACTACTTTGATTAAAGCTTCTAGTCTTCAACAAGGTGACTGTTTAAATCTAATTAGGTGTCCCCAAGTAATACATAGAATTATGGGAAGACAATTAAATGTAAAATGTGTTCTCCTGATGTTGATCTAAATGTGGACAGAAGACCTCATTATAGCTCAGACACTGTGGATTTGGTGACTCCCAACGTATAATCATCTTTCTGCCTTCAAAAACATTTGTTTAGTTCCAGAGATCAGTCAGAGGAATCTTGATCTTAGCTCAATTATAATGACTAATTTTATCATCCATCAACTTTTGTATTCCAAAGTTTGGGTGGAAGCTTATAAATATTTATTACACACAGATATCTTCATCAAACTTGGACATTTATAATATACAAGTTTTCCTGTAACTCTAAATAAGCAGCAGTTATTACTAGAAATAATTTAAGATTCAAGAAAAGCTGGCAAAGGCAAATAAGATAGTATTTGTGGCAACAGATAAAGGGAGTTCTACCCTAAAATCTATAACGTATTTTCTATATAGGATCTCCTTTAAATAAGCACACATACACATGCATATTTAGGTTTCCAGCAGAGGGAACTCAGTTTTACACAAGTTCTCTATGGTGTAATTAGGGGTTCTATTGAACACCTGAAGAATCTCTTGTCTACAAAAAAATTAGGTAAACTACTAAGGCCAAAACCAAATAGATTGAACAATGATGAATGATTTACCCTGGGGAGTGAATTCTGCCTTTTGTAAAACAACTGAACAGGTGCTGCAGACTCTAGATCAACCCACAGAGTCCAGAGTAGGGGGAGACAGAGGCAGGCAGGGGCGTGGGTAAGGAGCAAAGAATGAGGAAAGTATGCTTGAGAAAAACAAAAGAAGGTAAAATGTTCAAAATGATAGGAGCTGCTGTCTTAGGAAGGGCATGATGGAGAGAACATCCACAGAGATTATTCTAAATTATTCCATTTGGAAAGAACCTGTAGAGGACTGGTTAATCAACCCAGCTGTCTCTTAGCAGAATTGATTTCATTATGCGAAAAACCGCCCTCCATAAATAGGACAAAAGCTTTAGCCCTGAGTGAGTGAATCAGCAAACAGGATCCCTCCCGGTACTTTGGCAACTCCTCTGGCTCTTGACTGTGCTACAGGCAGACAGAGCTCTCTTTCCTCAGCCCTCTCTTGCCTTAAATAACCTAAATTTCCCTCTCTAAAGGAACTTACGTTTAATGCTTCTGGCTTGGGATAAGCTGACTAATGGGAATACTGTCTCCTTTACATTATCTTTTTAATATATTTATAGACCATTATAGCGACTCCCCACAGACTTCTTCCTTCCAGCCCCAACCGGCTCAGCACTTTTGCTCTTGCCTCTGCCTATTTTCCTTTAGTCTCTGAATCTTTTTTGCAGCTCTCCTGCAAACTCATCTCTCTGCCGGTTTACAGATCTCCAACTAAATGAAACCAATGAAAGCCTACCCAGGTCAAAGAGGCCACGAGCAATGAACATTTACGAACAAGAGGAGGTCAGCAAAGGTAGTAATTTTTCATGTTTAATTTTTTAAGGATTTATTTATTTATTTGAAAGGCAGAGCAGCACAGAGAGAGGAAGAGACAGATCTTCCATCTGCTGGTTCACTCCCTAAATGGCTACCACAATCAGGTCAAGGCCAGGCTGAAGCCAAGAGCCAGAAACTCCATCCTGGTCTCCCATATGGGTGGTAGGGGCCCATGCACTTAGACCAAAGGCAAAGATTCCAGGGCTGCACAATCTAAGAGAACTTTCTGTGATGATGGAAAAGCTCTGTATCTAGCCATCTGGCACATAGTAGCCAATACACAACTTAACTGTGGCTAGCACACTAGGAGAACTGAATTCCTAAATAGGATTTCATTGGAATTCATTTAAATTTCTACAGTTGTTAAGTGTAGGTTACAGCACAGTGTAGTTAGGGGTAGCACAGTGCTACAGGAGGAGCTATTCAGAAGGGTTGAGCCAACAGAGGGGCCGCTCCTCATACTCTCTGGGTGCAGAAAACTGCTGTATGATCAGTAAGGTCCAAGAAGACAAGCAAAAACCCCTGGGCAAAGCAAGAAAGTCAACCAGTTCTGCAAAGATGATGAACTGTTGAATCAATCTGGCTGTTTAGAACTAGGGAAATTACATAGCTAGTTACAAAATGGAATGAGTACATAAACTCCAAATGAGAGAGCTGATACACTGGGGTTGGAAAGAAGATATTAGAGGGGCCGGCGCTGCTGCGTAGCACGTAAAGATGATGCCAGCATCCCATATGGGTGCCAGTTCAAGTCCTGGCTGCTCAATTTCCAATCTCTGGTATGGCCCGGGAAAGCAGTAGAAGATGGCCCAAGTGCTTGGGCCCCTGTACCCACATGGGAGACCAGGAAGAAGCTCCTGGCTCCTTGCTTCGGATCAGCACAGCTCCAGCTGTTGCAGCAAATTGGGGAGTGAACCAGCAGATGAAAGACTCTCTCTCTCTCCCTCTCTCTCTCTCTTCCTCTCCTCTCTTTCCCTCTCCTCTCTCTGTGTAACTCTTTCTAATTTTTTTATTTTTAACTAGTTTTTATTAGATTTATTTTTATTTATTTGAAAGAGTTACAGAGAGAGGTAGAGACAGAGAGAGAAGTCTTCCATCCGCTGGTTCACTCCCCAGCTGTGCAAATCTAAACCCAGGAGCCAGGAGCTTCTTCCAGGTCTCCCACATGTTGGGCAGGGGCCCAAGGACTCGGGCCATCTTCTACTGCTATCCCAGGCCCTAGCAGAGAACTGGATCGGAAGAGAAGCAGCCGGGACTAGAACTGGTGCCCATATGGGATGCCAGCACTTCAGGCCAGAGCTTTAACCCACTGCACCACAGCACCAGCCCCTGACTTTCAAATAAATAAATAAATAAATCTTTTAAAAAAGAAGATATTAGAAATTCTATTTATACTTTTTAAAAATTGTAAATAATGCTTTACTAATAAATACAAACTGACAGTAGTGTATGCAAGTAATTTTATAAGTTAAGCTCTATTGGTGGCAAATTTAAAACTATTCTAAAATTAAACTTTTACTTTATGATAAGTTTAAGTTCATAATTGATCAAAAAGATAGGATTAAGTGTCAAAGGGATTACATAAATAAGACCAGTGTCTGAAAATAATAATTGATAGAATTAAAAAGGAGAGAATGATCCTACATAGGAAGCAGGATACACAGCAGACTCATAGAATGGCAGATGTCCTAAACAGCACTCTGGCCTCAGAATTAGCCCTTAAGGCATTTGAATCTGGCTAAAAAGCCCATGAGAGTATTTCAGGCATGGAAAGCCAAGACACTCTGGCAAAAAAAAAAAAAAAAAAAAAAAAGACATAAATGAAAGATCTCTGTGAGTGAGATCCCAGTGGAAAGAACAGGCCATCAAAGAAGGAGGTTCCTTTCTCTAAAGGGAGGAGAGAACTTCCACTTTGACTATGACCTTGTCTAAATAAGATCGGAGTTGGTGAACTCAAGAGGCTTCCATAGCCTTGGCAGCTCATGACAAAAGCCTCCGTGATTACTGACGTCATAAATAAGAGTGTCAATTGTTAAATCAACAACAGGAGTCACTGTGCACTTACTCTCCATGTAGGACCTCTGTCCTTAATGTGTTATACTATGTGAATTAACGGTATAACTACTACTCAAATGGTACTCTATACTTTGTGTGTCTGTGTGGGTGCAAACTGTTGAAATCTTTACTTAATATATACTGAGTTGATCTTCTGTATATGAAGATAATTGAAAATGAATCTTGATGTGAATGGGATGGGAGAGGGAGTGGGAGATGGGATGGCTGTGGGTGGGAGGGAGGTTATGGGGGGGGGGAGCCGCTATAATTCAAAAGTTGTACTTTAGAAATTTATATTTATTAAATAAAAGTTAAAAAAAAAAACAAAAAAATTTACTTTAAAACTATTTGCATACCTCTGGAAGTGGCAAGTTCAAAAATTTATTACTGATAAGTGGGTGTGTTGAAAGCTTGAAGACCTCGGAACCGCACACCTGCCTCAAGTAGAAACTAGAAACTACAGTGTTTCCACTCCAATACTCATTTAATTCACACCACTAATAATGGTTTTTTTTCTCAAATTTAAATGTGCATGATTATCACCTGAGGGAATTGTTAAACTGCAAATTTCTGGGGTAGGTGTTTGGTCTATCAAGTAAGATGCCTGCATTCTCTATCAGAATACCCTGAGTTCAGTGCCTAGGCCCTGACTCCAGCATTCTGCTAATGTAAAGTCTCAGAGACAGCAGTGACAGCTCAAGTGATTGAGTTCCTGCCACCCATAGGGAAGACCTGGATTGAGTTTGCAGCTTTGGCCTCGTTGGGAATGAACCAGCAAATAGGGGTGCACAATCTCTCTTGCTTGCTCGCTCTCTCTCTCTCTCTGCCTCTCAAAGAAAAATTTAAAAGAAATTGCAGATTTCTAAGGTCCATGCAGAGCCTGTTGAATTCCAAATATCTGGAAACCTGCATGTTTGATAAATCTCATTGATGACTCTGAATCAAATAGCTGCTAGACTCTCATATTAAGATAGACTTATCTAAATCACAGCAGTATTTCACTCTACTAAGGAACTGGCATCTAAGTGTGGATTTATAAGAAGGGCAGATTTTTACTGGCAAATGAATTTGCATCCAGTTACTTTACATAGCTGTTCACCACAGGGAATCATAGGCAGATGCACTCAAGTCATATTTCATCATCCCTGAAATGTCCATGTGGATGAAATACCAAAAATGACTTTCAACCCATAATGTGAGTCACTACACAATTAACTAGATGCTTTTGGCAATTCCACACAACCAAAGCAAGTTTCAAAACCACTGATTCATTCCCACCCACCACACACCTTCAGATCAGACAAATGCTAAGAGCCAAGTGAAGGGACCCTTTTCAACGTGTGAACATCCTGAAACTCAAGATGTTAACCTGACATCTGCATCACCACCTCCCAGGAGGACGATAGCTCATGTCAATCCCCCACACAGATGCAATGGCGTCAGTTACTGGACATGAAATGTGGTCCAGAGATTGTTTATTTAAAACACATAATTCCAGGGGCACAACTACATTATTAGAAACAACATTGTTACCCAGCCCTCTCCCCCCTAGCAAAAGTACTTGTGATTTTCGATGTGAACATGTTTCATTCAGCCCAGACAAGGCTAATTCCGATCCTAATGTGCAAACATAGAGCATGGATATTTCCAAACCATGAGAACAGTGTGGACAGCAATTGCATGCTGCTTCCTCTGCTCCGTGTCAGAGACATCAATAAGCAGAATTAGACACAAGTGGATTCCTTCTAGCATCCTAAGGAGGATCTTTTCTGATTCATACCCAGTTAGTGACCTGATAGAATATCAGTTGCTCACCCGTTAGCTCAGTTTACCCCTGTGAAAACTGCAACTCTGCAACTGTTCACCAAATGTTTTCTCTTGAGCAAGTAACAGGCACAGCAAAGTTAGAACACCTGACTAATTCTTACCTCTGAATGAGTTCTTTACGTTTCTGAGCGAGATACTTCTTCTTTAAATTCATCAGTTCATTGGTGAGTTTCTCAATCTCGTACTTATATTCTTGGCTCTGTGATTCATACATATTCAATTCTGAAGACAAAACCTAGCGTGGAAAAGAAGGCAGTGTTAACAAAAGATGTGCAGTGAAGCAATATTCCTTTTCTGAAAAATCTGCTTTAGTCTGCTACCACTTACCTTGGTAGGGCTACAGGTTCACAACTATGTCTGGGTGGAATAGTTAATCACATGCTTCCTGGCTAAGTAAGGGCTGATGACTCAAATCGAGTGACAGACCTAAATGACAGGTGTCACAACCCTGCTCCAAAGGAGAACTCTCAGGCAACACTCAAACCGGCTCGCAGATGAGTCGTGAGTAGAGGAATATTGTGAGTAGAAACAGAAAAACTCCCAGACACGCCATCTGAAATTGCTTTTCAAGCCTTTTCTTTGAAAAGCATTGAAGAAAAACATCACTAGAGAGGTGGGATTCATCTGAGAATTGTGGTAAAAATGATTCTGAAATCATCCTGCCACTGCCGCTAACTAGGCATTCCAATTGATGTGCTTGCCAAGATTGTTGTTCCGCTCAATGTCTATCGCCTCCTGGTTGTGTTCTTTGAGACTATTCACAGGTTCTGCCTTTATCCCAGCTCTGGGCCACTTGCCTGGAAGAAGCAGGGAGCTGTGACATATGCACAAGAGAGCCTGAGGCAAGAGAGGGTCTGTGGTAAGAAGCCTGACTATCCCACTCCTTCCATGGCTACGTTCAGTAGATGCTCTTGTCTCCGGCTGGACAAGAGTAGGAATTATCTCATGCAAATACGAAGGAAAGCATACCAAAAGGAGGGTGTGCTCCCCACCAAACCCAAAGGCAGCAAAGGAAGGCTGTGGTCCTAAGGGGCATGCAATTGCCTCAAGTTCTTTTTCCCTTTGCTTTCTCTATTTTAAAGATTTGCATAAAAAAGAGATCTTTGCCTTTTGAGCACTCATCTGCTTTTGAACTCCTCTCTCTTCATTGCTGTAAAAATGATTCTGACTGTGTGTTCCCAGCTAAAGAATGTGATCTTCATGCTGGAGGGGGTGCTGTCTCAATAGTTAAACTCTTAGGAACAAAGACCCCGTTTTTAAACAATTGGGTTTAAATGGAATTTCCCAAGAGTCCAGATAATAAGGACCAGCTGGGGGCATGCTCAGCACCACCCACTTTGGGCCCTCTTCCATGAAGTCTCACATTTCACTCCAAGAAAAAAATCTGAATTTCCTCAGATAAAGGATTAAAGAGGCAAAAGGCCCCTGTGAGCACCACTTCACACAGCCAGAGCTAAGTGTGGGTAAGATGCACATGTGCACTTCTCTTCTATACACATCCCTAAAATCAAGAAAATAATCTTTTGTTTGAAATACTCAATTGTTTAAAGGAACAAAAACAACCAAAAGACTATGCCTTATGCAAAATTCAAATTATGACTCAGGATTCTCTTGTGAAATGAACATTCAGAGTGATGAGTTGAAAATTAGTGTTCTAATTAGATGTCTGTTTCATCTGCCCTTTTAAAGTAGAGGATGTGATTTTACAATGTCCTATTTTCAAAAGTGTTAGTGCTATGCCAGTGAGGTGGCAACAATTGTTACCCTCATTGGGTAGGTAAGCCCCAGAGTTCAGCTAGCATGTACTGCCTTCAGTAGACATGTATGTGTAAAACTTCTCATACGTGCCAAGAACATATAATACTTGCAGGGGTAAAGTTCAAAGCTCAAAGGGTGAGCACACATTTTTTCAGAAAACTTTCAAAAGGCACAGACAATTGTAAAACACTCCATCTCCCCAACTGAAGGGAATTATGCTAACAAAATTCTTGCATGATCTTATTTCCCTTTCTTGGCTACTTATCTGATATGTGGTCAGGAGGCAAGGTCTTGGGGGCTGGGGAGTAGCTTGAGATTTGTGTACATTTATTTCAGGTGGAACAGAGTGGCGGCAACCAGCTTAGGTCCAGGGGTCTGCTTCCACCAGGGGAGAGTGTATAGCTGTTTCCTCTGTTCTTCTCTACCACCCACATCCTCTGAACATCCCGAGATCATCCACATAGATCCTGACTCAAATTTCCAAGTGATTGCCACCATCTTCTCCCCAATGCTTTCCTCGCTTGCTCTCTTGCCTCTTTCGGAAAGGGAAGATTCTGGTGTCTAACAGTCTACAAGCTAGCAGAGGGCTAGCGTGGAGCTGTGGCCTGTTCCTCTGGGACCAGAGCTGTGAGGAAGCTGACCTGGTTGGAGGCTGGCATTTGGGAGAGCAACTCGTTGCGCCAAGGCAGCGGACTTGTCCAGTGCATTCCCCCAAAGCGTGGCCTCCTCTGGGCCAGGAAAGAGCAGAGGCCAGTACTTACTTTCAGCTGCTTGGTCTTCTCCCGCAGCGTGTGCCGGTAGATCTGCAGCTGTTCCGCAGCCTCTGGGCCAGGCTGCCGGGCCAAGACATGCTTTAGTTCCACATACAGTTTCTCCTTTTCCTGGTGGGCAGCAAAACCAGGAGCAGAGATAAACAGCCTCATCAAAGCAAGGAAAAAAGCCTTCAACAGCATGGCCAGGATGATTTGGCTGCAACTTGATTACAGATTCGCTCAACCGTGCATCCAACCAACCCTGAGAAGGGTCTAGGATGTGCCCAGTTTTCAGATACAAATAATAAGATAAATGAGTAGGAGAAAGTCCCCCTCCCTGGAACACGACTGTGAGACCAGGTCAGTGATGGAAGATTTCCACAGAAGGTGGTGGGCAATAAAAACAGGGAGTAGATGATTTTTGTTGGAGGAGTTAGGGGAAGTTTTACAAAAAATGTCACTTGAGTTACTCCTCCAAGGATGGGTAGGAGTTCCCCCAAGCAAGGAGAGAAAAAAAAAGATCCTTGCAGACCAAATGCCAATGATGGGACATAACAGTGAGTCCAGTTCGGCAAGGGTACAGGGCAGGAGGAAGGGGGCAGCTAGACAGGTAAGCTGAGGCTCACAGGTTGAAATCAGAATGTGGGTGCATTCAGGAACTGGTTGGGGACCACGTCCATTAGGCAGTTGGGAGCTGGGGCTGAGCCATGTCTGGGTCTGTGTTTAGGGAACCGACGCTGGCAGTAAAGCACAGTGCAGAGTAAGGGAGTCGCCCAGGGACCCATTACAAGCAGGAGGTGAAGAGCACTGCACCTGGCATGCCTGGGGTGGAAGACGGGGAGAGGTGAAGGCATCGCTGAGGCAGAGTCAGCAGATCTGGTGACAGGTCAGACAAATGGAAAAGGAAGGGACAGGAGCCAAAGATGTCTCTGAAGTCTCCAGTGTGGGCAGTGGTGAGGTGAGAGAGGTTGGGATGAGGGTCACACAGGTAGGGGAGGCTAGAAGAGGAGCAGGCGCTGGGGAAGGGAAAGGCTGAGCATGAGGTCCTGTGTGACAGCCACAAGAGGAGCTGAAATGGGGGCCCAGTGTGGAGAAGCAAAGGGCACGCTGAGCCAGCACAATCAGATCTTTGCGCGAACAGGAACATAAGGGGTAGGTAGAGAGGAAGATAAGAGGAAGAAACGAGGGAGCGCCACAGAACATCTCCCAAACCAAGAAAAGGCAGGAGAAGGCAGGCATCTGAAAGGGTGTGAAAGGGGAGGAATGAATGGAGTGGCCAGGGCATCAGATGAGGTAGAAAGAAACAAGAGAAGGTCTACACAGAGGCTACCAAGACATCCTCACTGGCCTCAGTCAGACAAGCTGGGAAGCAGAAGTCACACAGGCTGAAGAACAAATCAGAAGGAAGACATTGAGTCTTCTAAGAAATACGACAGGGGAAGAGATCTGGAAATGAAATGAGACAATAGGCAGAAATCCAGGGAAACAGGGATATTCAAATTTCTAGAACAGAAGGAAAGGAGTTCCTGGGAAACCAGAACAAATTAGAATTCTGTAACATAAACATTAAATAACATGGACTTCCCACTTGTATCCTAGAGTCTAATCACTTATAATGCCTTCTCATACCCTTGAACTAAAGATCCTACATATGAGCAAAGATTTATTTCTAGTGCATCTCACCTCTAGATTTCCCTATCTCTAATGTGCCATACTCTGAGCAAACATTGATAAAGATGAGGGTGTCTACTCAGTTTCTGCATGTATTCATTTCCTTGCAGTAATTATGTTAAAGAAAAAAGGACGAGTTTAAAGTCCTCTCATTAAATGAAACTGCCAGCAAAAAGGAAACTAAATTTTACCTAGAGCTAAGTATTCTTGGCATTGTCAGGAAATAATCTATTTTTGCTGGAGAACACAAAAGTCATAAAAAAAAAAAAAACAAGTAAAGGAAAATTCATTAACTAGTCATTGTTGCCATTTGGTTTAGTTTCCTTTTCCCTGGTCAAATTATAGAAACTTTATTGCAAATAACACATCTCTGCTTACAGAAGAGTGTATGCAACTTAAAAACCAGTTGGAAGGAATGAGTGTCTAGAGAAACACATGGAAAAGTAATACTCACCATTTAAGAAATAATTCCAGGAATGACAAGGAAACCCAAAAGCCTGCGCTAAAGAAGAAAGCTCTAACAAATAGAATTACAAAGTGATGATTTTCCTTTGCTGTTCAACACCTCCTGTCACACTTTACAACATAATCTTGGCAGTAAATGGATGTAGCAAGCAATGAGAAAGATATCGGGAGGTGAGTTTATTTTCTATAACCACTTAACGCCTGCACTGTTGGAAAAATAACTCCGACAAGGCTTCAAGATTCAATTTGGAGAGGTTAATACATATGTGGAGAAGCCCATGAAACTGTTTTGTCCATTTCTTTCAGCTCACCTTTCTCTATAGCAGAGTATAGATCGACTTGAAAAGTAAAGAACCCCACAATGATGAAGAGGAAGCAGTCTGGTTTGGGATATAATAATGTCTTAAAATGAAAATGCCACCTTACTCCAAGAACCTTGAAATATTTCATAGGTGTCATTCTTTCCTATTTCACTTAGTAGGTAGGGAGGAGAGAGACATAAGGAAGAAAGTTTTGGAGAAACAAATGCTATTACCTCATAGGTGAGACTCCCTAGATCAACAGGAATTAATGATGTGCCCAAAGTCCCTCAACAAGTCAGAATCCCAGTTACGATAAACCCAAGAATCACTTTTCCTATGCAACACTTCCTCTTGGGCTTGAATACCTGTACCACTCTGGAAACATCTGGGCCCGACTGAGCTACAAAATCCCTGAAGACACCTGATAGCATCAACAGAAGAATCAAGCCAGAGGTGAAGTAAGTTTCAAAACTACAGTAGTGGCCAGCATTGTGGTGTAGTGAGTTAAGCCACCATCTGCAATGCCAGCATCCCATTTGGACACTGATTCATGTCCAGCTGCTCCACTTCCAATCCAGCTCCCTGCTAATGTGCCTGGAAAAGCAATGGAAGATGGCCCAAGTGCTTGGGCCCCTGCACCCATGTAGGAGACCTGAAGGAAGCTCCTAGCTCCTGACTTTGGCAAGGGCCAGCCCCAAGCCGTTGCAGCCATCTGGGGAGTGAACCAGCAGATGAAGACCGATTCATTCTCTTTCTTTGTCTCTGTCTCTGACTCTCTCTCTCTCTCTCTCTCTCTCTCTCTCTCTCTGTAACTCTGACTTTCAAGTAAGTAAATAAATATTTTAAAAGAGAAAAACTAGGGTGGAAGATATCAGAGGTAGAACGTGGCTCAACTCTCACCTCCTCACCTCCAGCACCTGAACGAGCCTGCCCATGCTAATAGGAAGTACAGTTTGCTGATACAGTGAATCATGGGGCCATTTGCCCTGTCTTCTTCTCTCACTTCCAGTTATTTTACCCAGCCTGTAAAATGGACTGTGATGGCTTTATTCTTAAGAATAACCGAGTGATTGAACAGTGAGGGTCCATAAGTGTGGAGAAAAGTAAAGAAAATGAACGAATTACCATTAAAACTGTCTGAGTACTCAAAGTCAAAAAGTTCTGAAAGTTAAATAAGCCAGGACAGTGATGCCTGTGAGTTCATTCATGGCGGGTAGGAGGAATACCAAATGCGGCATCAGGGACTGAGGCAGCAGAAGGCATGAAGAGCAGAGGCAACAGGACTGGGGGCTAGTGGATGGAATGCATTGCCAGGCTTCAACAGGCACACATTTTGGTCTATGCTTACAGTGGAAAACCTAAAATGATAAAACCAAAGTGATGTCTAGTCAGCATTAACATTCTAGTCATGTGTATCATACAGATTTGTATTTTGGGGAACCATGCTAGTAATTTAGACAAATATGGAGTGCTTGATGGATTGAAGGTCTTAAGTACGATTGTCTTCCAATTTATTTCTCTCCTAACCCTCTACAAGGGCCAACCAAGCTCTTCAAACATTGTGCAATGGTGTGTATAATAACCCCATTTAGAGACAAAGCGTGCAATTCTATTATAAAGAGAATCTATCTTATGCAACAGAGACTCATTAGCTGCCCAATGCATATTGTCTCCATAAGCCAGCAGTGGCAGAACCAGCTGCCTTGTAATACATATCCTGTCCTTCTTCATTAAGCCACATCCATTTCTCTTTAAACGTAGACAATTAATTTGTCACTTGGTTAGAGGCACCATATGTCAATGAAACATAATAAGAACATCATAAATAGTTTATTACTTCCCCACCAACAGAAGATTGCATCTTCAGGTTAGCATGTCTTTATTTATTCAGAGTCTGATCATAATGTCCATCAATACTACTTTGTAGTATGCCTCTCTCCTTACATTACTTTATGGACAGCTATACCAGAATAAACCTAGACTATGAACACTGAGGGACCAGCCTTCTCTTTGGCATGTCTTGAGAGCACTAACCATGCTATGTCCATCCTTGAAATGATATTCTCCTCCTAGACAGCCCATTCTTAACAGCTGGACAAACTGTCAGGCATGATTATGGATTCTTTTGCTGCAACTGTCTCTGCCAACTTATTCTGGATAACAGCACATCTCATTGTCAAGATCGGCTGAGTGTAGTGGTAAGAAATTAATTACAATATTAACTTTGAATAATGCTGTCATTGTTTGGTGACAGTCTGTAACTCCAGTTGCAAAATGCATATACAGAATCACTCAGACTTCAGGTGCTTGTGTTTTATCTGACAACAAATTAAAAGCCAACATTCTGAACAGTCTATGCAAATAAGGGTCGGTGCTGTTCTGGGTATGATTCAGAGGAAGAAACTGAGTCTCTCCCAGAACGCCTTTCCCCATCAAGCTTTCATAATCACTGTGAATACTCCATCTTCTGTTTTGCCTCTCCGGCTGAAAATAAAAGGCGGTTCACACTAAACATGCACCTCAGCACCCCTTCTTTCTCAGCTCACCTGCTTCATGCAATGACTGACTGAGAGGAGCTAATTTATTCTGTGTTTCATCTGAATCTGTGTTTGGCAAATGCCAGTGCATGGATTCCACTCAACCTGGCATCATCAATTTGCATGGGCAAAAGTAGGAATAATTGCCTCACTC